AGCACCGAATGCACGGGATGGGGATGGTGGAGGACGTTGGCGATGTGTAGTGATGATGGGCTGGTCCACCGCAGCCGGCATAGAGGAAACGGAGGCCTGCCGTAGCGCCGAGGGATCGGAGTCGGCGCCGACCACCGACCTCGTGGAGTCGTGGATGCGCGTAGGGAGAGGCGGTTGTTGATAGGCGGCAAGCACGCTGCGGGTGTGTTCGGCGAGGGCTTAGACCGCGGTGGGAGGGGACGGTTACAGAATTTGGGTGGGATACGGCACCATGAAAAAAAACGCCGCGAAGTTGTGCTATATGGCGGCGTGGGCGATCGCAGTGTGAGGCGGGAGGGTACAGGCGGGTGGGTAGAAAACTCTCTGGTGAAAAAAGCTAGGACACCGCCATATTAACAGGAACCATTGGATTAAAAGAGATTAATCCATCAACGGTTTAGATATTAGGTGGGTATGAAATTTTTGGGTACACCATATTTTTAAATTCCTTCGATCTTTTATAGTATAGATAAGCAAAAAGGCTATAATATATTGAATAAATATAAAATAATAAATCCGGAATGGTACGCCGGAATACACCAGTACCGAAACATCTCACTCCAAACACTAAACCGGAGTGGTCACCGGAATGGAATTGACAAGAATATGCTCCGGATAGAGCCGACAGGAAGTCCGAAGCGAAAGGATAGTTAAGGTTCGGAAATAGAAAAAGAAATTTGACGTCCTCTGGAACATATTTTTGGTAGTTGGGTCATCTCCAATAATTTTTATTTCGTACTTCGGCTCTGGCTAACTCATATTTTTTTTCATTGATGGTTAAAATACAAAGCAACCCAGAAGAACAATTGATTTAGTTAGACGCTTGCTTTTACCTTGAGGTGAAGCACAAATAAACGGTGACTCTTTTTTTGGGTTGTTATATGTTCCAATAAAATTAGTTCTTATATAGTGTTTGTGCATAACTTATTTCATGTTTGAGTTCGCATCGCCTAGCCTTACTTTTGCAAATATTTAACATATTTAACAAGACATTGATGATTATTTCCAAAAGGATTTATTTATATCATAAAACAGAATAGATTAAATTTACAGGTTACAAAATATTTATATAATAAAACATTGATGATTATATGGTTTCGTTCACACATTTTACTTGATTGTCTACACGTGAATATTGTGAACATAGATTGTATATGCAAATAGAGATCATTGACCAACAATGAAGAGTAATTTTTTTTTAAAAGTCTCAGATCATGTTTAATTGATTATTGCTTATAAAAAGATGTCCAATTGCTTATCGGACCTAGACATATTAGTGTTTTTTTCTCCCGTTGCAACGCATGGGCCTATTTACTAGTCTATACCTAATACTAAAGAGGTAAAATTTCTGCCATAATTTTTTTCGTCCAACTCTGATCTCTATTTGGATTCTGGTTTTTTTGTCTGGTAATCATCTTTTCAAAGTCCCGTCCAGTTTAGATCTTGTCTCTATCTATCTGTACCTAAAACATATCTCCGAACTGTGCCCCAGACGGTAAAAAAAAATCAAATCGGAAAAAGGACGGTGCTGAACCTGGCTACTACTTTGCACGACCAACAGGCGGGACTTGCCATGGGCAATTGGGCATGTAGCAGCTATAAAAAAGAAAAGGCCGAAAATCAAGGAGCGGGCCAGAAATTGAAAATCGTGCGTAAAGAAGAAAAAGTCTTTTTACAGAAAACTACAACTCTAATTAAAATTGTTTCTTTAAATAACTAATATATAAAAATTCAGAAAAGCAAAAAAAATCTACACATAAAAAATCACACAAACTAAACTGAAGGCCCGCTGATACTAACAACTAATTGTTAACTAGCTAAAAATTAGCAAAATACCATGATCAGTATGTCAAGGCGGCCGAAGCCAAGAGGATGCACGCAAGGCCAGCCATGCCTGTTCGCCCCCTAGCACTCACGTTGGGCTGCGACATCAACGCTAGCCAGATCAAGTAATGCCGGCATCGGTGCCGGCGCAAATAACCATTGTGTACGGAGGGCATGCAACAACGTCCTGAGTCAGACAAGACGAGAGTTATTATTTTTTCCCGTACGTGCATCATTCTATCTTTAATAATTTTCCATTTCTTGGTTTGTGTCCCCACCTCTAACGTGATGGACTCTCATACTAATCCAATAGAAGAAATACAATACAACGACTCAATAAATAAATTGAATACAAATTGGGTTAAATTGAACACCAATTATTAAACCATATAAGCAAGGCACCATATCAGTGCAGGCGAAGCGGCACGAAAAGATGCTAAGGCTAGAAAGACGATGGCGCGAGGCGCGGAGACGATGGCAAGGTCGGGCAACGGAGGGGCAACCTAATGAGACGACGACGTGAGCGAGACCGAGGCGAGGAGGCAAGGTCATGGAGAAAGGAGACGGCGACGCGGGCGAGGCTACCAAATATTTCACCAAAATAACTTTATCTCCATCACCAGTGGAGCTGAAGTAAAAAAAAAGATGCTTCACCGGTGATATTCCTCATTGATTAATTGTGTGCTATTGGTCTCGACTTTAATAAAATTTGCACGATGAAGTGTTTATACACTATGTATATGTCCCATTACATTTGTTGATTCTTTGATGCTATAATTGGAAGTGGAAGTGAAAATGTGCGCGCCTTGTCTCTTCGTGTTTGTAAGAGAGTCCCTGCGCTATGGCATAGATGCAGTTGATTACTTAAGTAGACGAAAATATATTGAGTCAAAATTATTTATATATATGTTTTTAAGCATAATGTCAAGTGCAATAAAAATACAATGATGTAAATGAAAAACGGTTGCTTTCAAGACAACACAAGACATAGACGTTAAAACTTTGGATGACGCTATACCTTTCCTCCTGTTGCAACGCACGGGCACTTTTGCTAGTATTAATGAAGAGGCAAAATTTCTTGCCACAAATGTTTTCGCCCAACTCTGATCTCTATTCGGATTCTGGTTTTTGTCCAGCGTATCCTTATATTTTTCTTTGTTTTTGTAAATCTTTTTCTTCCTTCCCGTATTTGCATTGGCCCGTCCGCCTCTCTTCGTGCGAGAAATCTGGCCCACTCGTAGGCATGGGCAGGGGCACGCCCCGGCCCATTGCACGCGCGCAGCGACAACGTGAGAGCAAGCGAAGCAAGCAGCCCCGTGTGTGCCTTGCTCCAATGCTCCTTATCAGCTTGATGACATCATGCTTACATCACACCTAAATAAGTATGTTTTTCTTTATAGAAAAATAAATCAAGATATACCATCTAAATACAAATATAAATAAAGACACCTTTGGTCGTCCATCCTAAAATCTATGGCTACGATTAAAAGAACCAATAACCCTTCCAGGTGGACACGATCCGTGGTGGACCCCACCCTCATCCCGCTGCTGGTCCACGGCCCGTGGACTAGGTGCGCAGCATAGTGTTTGCCCATTTGTCAATCTAGCCCCTACCTTTATTCTATATGCACGTACTAAGCTATTCTCTGAGTCTAATAGAACTAGCCAGCTACCTCTGCCATCTATAATGAACTACAAATAGACCCTCACCAGATTAAAGACTACTTCAAAATAATGTTCTAAATATTTCGCTTTCACAAAAAAAAAATACTACTAATTTCATAATTACTTTAGATGACAATACAAATCAGTTTTCAGTAAAAAAACATTTCCAAAAAGATTTAATGTTTGATTTTTGTGAGCAAATTACAGTGCTTCAGGCAACAACAATGCTTTTTCTCTGTATTACAGATTTATCTTAGTGTATCTTTTCGCTTGCACAAATACATAATTTTTAATTAAAAATCAAAAAAGTACATGTACCAAATAATTAAAATTCAAATATTTGGGTGCATGACTAAATTAGGTTGTTTATACTTTTTTACCAGTTTCCTAATATGTTTCTCTCTCGATAACGTTTACACACATTAATTCCTTAGATTTATAGGAAAGGAATAACCACACAAGCTTGAATAATTTATTCTCCTGCGAAGGAATTGTTTACAATATGTATAGTTTTCGTAATTTGAGTGGACAGACTCGCCTCTCTTCTCCGTGCATCTACACCAACCAAACATGCAATCTGAGGGCGGCAGGTCTTAAAAATTTATTTGATTCACTTAAGGTTGGATTAAGCCCAATTAATAAATTCGATATAGATAGAGAGTGATGTCCGAGAATCATACAATAAATCATAAGTCATGTTGCAATGCATGAGCATTTTTGCTAGTCTAATATAATTTTTCTTTCGTCTAAAAAAAAGTGTTTTGTCATCAAAAAAAGAAAATGCCTCCTGACCCTATGTATGCTGTGAGTGTGAGGTCATTGCTTATGAGTTATGACAGGTGTATATGCATTCATCAACTTTTACTATACAATAGTATATATTACTGTAATCTGCTTGCCTAGCTCATCTAGTCATCTATTGATTCCATGCATTATCTATCCCATCTCCTAGGCAAATCAATCTGAGCTGAGCCGCCGACCCGGCCCTAGCTAGATTAATTACGTGGAGCAAGGCTCTGTCTCGTCGGTTACCTTCTACTAATTAATCTGATCGAACTTGTTTGCTGCAACTATGCCGTAACGCTTGCGCTGTCGTCGTGGCCTATGTCAGCAGAGCCAGACCAATGAGTGAGTGACTGGTATGAAATCAAACGATACCGATCTGACGAGACATTAGATAACCTCGTCCCTTCATTCCCTTGCAGAAGAAGCAGTCCACCATCTCTGACCAGTAACCACCCTGCACAACACAACCAGCGCTTTGCAACCTGCAAGCCAGAGCTACTCTGCTCTCTGAACTTGTTGCCTCGTGGCCTGGCCGTGCGCGCGCACGCACACGCCGACGATCGATCATCACGCAGCTCGATCATCACTCACAGCAAGTGTCGCGAATCACCTACGGGCGACGGCGATCGATCAAGACGGCAGCGAATTCAGCCACTAGTAGTCCGTCATCTGTCAGGACTCAGGAGATGTCGCAGCCGCAGCAGCAGCAGCCGGAGGCGGTGAAGCTGATCACGGCGTTCGGCAGCCCGTTCGCGCACCGCGTGGAGGTGGCGCTGGCGCTCAAGGGGGTGTCGTACGAGCTGCTGGTGGAGGACCTATCTGCCAAGAGCGACCTCCTGCTCACGCACAACCCCGTGCACCGCTCCGTCCCGGTCCTCCTCCACGGCGACCGCGCCGTCTGCGAGTCCCTCCTCATCGTCGAGTACGTCGACGAGGCCTTCACCTCCCACGGCGACGTCAGGATCCTGCCGGCCGACCCCTACGCCCGCGCCACCGCGCGCTTCTGGGCCGACTTCATCGCCACTAAGTGCCTGAAGCCGCTGTGGCTGTCGATGTGGGCGGACGACGGCGAGGCGCGGGCGCGGTTCGCCGCGGAGACGAAGGCGAGCCTGGCGGTGCTGGACGCGGAGCTCCAAGGCCATGGGACGAGGTTCTTTGGCGGCGACGACCTCGGCTTCGTCGACCTCGCCGCCTGCACGCTGGCGCACTGGCTCGGCGTGCTGGAGGAGGTGGCAGGGGTGCGCCTCGTGGCGGACGGCGAGTACCCGGCTCTGCGACGGTGGGCCGAGGAGTACACCTCCCACGAGATCGTCAGGCGGTCCCTGCCGGACAGGGACCAGCTCGTCGCCTTCTTCGCTGCCAACCAGGAGAGGTACAGGTCCATGGTCAACGCAGCGGTGCAGTAGGCAGTAGTACGTAGTAGCTCCATCACAACACTGTGCGATCATGCATGTCATTATGTGTTGTCTTGTCGTGGAAATAATGTACTCCCTCCGTCCCATTGAGTTTGTCGTTTGAAAACCGTGCCCCCCTCACAATCCCGCTTCCCGAGCGACAAACTCAATGGGACGGAGGGAGTACTTTTGGAGTTTTGGATCGCTCTGTAACTCTGTAGTACAACCTGTTTAATAATCATTGTTATCGTCGTAATGCAGTTGTAGATCTCTCCTAAACAAAAGCACACTTGCTTTATTTTTTTAGTATGGGTTATTATGCAGAAGTGCAGTTGCCATAGACACCGAAGACAAGGGTAGTTTAAATATTTCTCCACCCTCTTTCTCCACGAAAGTGAGAAATAAAAAAATATTGGTTGTTTGTTACGGCAAAGAACCCTAAATTTATAATGGTACTGAGCAAATATCGTTCGTTGTGGTGTCCATCAACATATTATATATTTAAAAAATGTCCTGTAGCAAAAATTTCCAAATTATTTACATTATTTGGCACCATGCATGTTCTGTAACTCTGCGCATGTTTTCAAAATTTGCCCCGTTTGGCTCGTTGAAATTCGGCTGCTGCTACATATGCTGATTTGTTATGAGAGAAAAACACCGTTCTGATTTGTTATGAGAGAAAAACACCGTTCTTTAGCTGAAAAGTAACGTCGATAAGTTCAAGTAAATTTGTCATCGTCGAATATTCTCAATCTTTTGTACTGCGTAGGTTCGTCCTATTGAGGGCATGTTTAGATCCAAAATTTTTTGGGTTTTGGCTACTGCAGCATTTTCGTTTGTATTTGGTAATTAGTGTCTAATTATGGACTAATTAGGTTCGAAAGTTTCGTCTCGTGATTTCTTACCTAACTGTGCAATTAGTTTTTTTTCATCTACATTTAGTACTCTATACTTGTGTCACAAGATTCGATGTGATAAATACCGTGCAAAATTTTGAGAACTAAACAGCCCCTAACATTTGTTGCTACCGAGGTAGCAGTGTAAGGGGCGATCCTTTCAAGATCCCTGTTCATCCACAGTGACTCGTTGCTACCCATCCAATCCTGTCCGCTACCACCACCCCCCCCCACCCCCAGTGCCCAACCTCTCGAATGCTCCAGACCCCGCGGGCCCCAGGGCCCAGCATATTCACCTGCCTCAATCATGGGATTTGGGCTATGTCAGGACCACCTCATCCTTAAGACTCTGTTGTAATGATCAGCCCACCTCATCCTAGATCAGCCGAATGGCTTAGAATCAAGAGTAATGGCCACTGCTAAACAAAGGGAGCTTTTCTCTGCACCTAGGTACTGACAAACTAACATTTTTTCCCAATTCAGGTAGGTGAATCAACAACCAGAGCAGCAAGCAAAGCTCAGCGAAATCACCAATCGTAGGCCATTTAGGCTTACGGAATGATGTGAGTTTTTACAACCTCCAATTCTCACTGCGTCTCTGAAATATGTCTAGCTGAATTGTTTTCAGCATTCTTGTTTTACCGTGTACAGCTATGTCGGGGACCTAATACTGGGGTACCAAATGAGGGAGAACTGATAAACACCGTTGACACTTCCTATCGGACAGGAGCGCAACGACGCCTCTCGCCCAAGACCAGGGGAGATCGATTCCACCTCGCCCAACCCCCGGGGGCCAGGCTCCGCCTCGCCCGACCCCCGAGGGCCAGGCTCCACCCCGCTCGACGTCTGGGAACTAGCTCCGCCCCGCCCGATGTCCGAGGGCGGGCTCCGCCCCGTCCAATGACCAAGGGCTAGCCTCGCTCGTCTGGCCGACAAGGGCTGAACATCGCCTCACCTGACGCCCTCACCCTACCCCTCCATGATGACAGGAAACAGGGTAAGACGAGACGTTAGAGTCAAACCGCGGCAGCAAGGACCATGCCCTGTGCCAGTAACAAGTACCATCGAGGTACGACAGGACGGGCGCTTTAGGCCCTGCCAGACATGATAGAACCCGAATAGTGTTGTAGGCGTCGGGTTTTTCGGCCTACAGTATTGTGGGCGCCGCCTTCAACCCTCGGGTACGGAGCCTGACACAAACACCGCTATGAGACTCACATCCCTGTAGGGACAGGTGTGTGGGCGCCGCACCTTTCACCTCCCACAGTGTCACAGACCGACACCCCTGTCCGACACGCCGCCCGCAGGGGTGGGATGGGATGCGACCACTTACGGAGCATGACGTCATCAACGCACGTATACACTACACCACAATACTAATATAGCGTCACATGTGTGTCGTTATAAATATACTAATACCGTTGCACCATCGGTCGGTATAGCTAGCCTACGGATCAAGTGTCGGTAAATGTACATGTTGCGATAAACCATCGGTCGATATAGATATTTACCTATATAGTCAAACAGTTGGTCGGTTTAGATCAGTATAGAGGACACTCCTTCGGTCGGTATAGGGCCGTGCCTTTGGCGCGTGGTGTGGAAATAAAAGAACAGGTTCACGGGAGACTGAAAATGAAATAGGGCCCATTCGTGGTAAAATTAGGCCCAAATACCTTCCTATGCAAACCCTAGCTTTTCATTCTTCACTACTCTTCAGCCTAAGCTAGTCCAGTCACCGCCGCCGCCTCCTCTCTACGCCCGCCTGCCTGGCTCCATCGCAGGCCCCGCCGCCTCCTCTCTGCGCCCGCCCGCCCGGCTCCATCTCAGGTCCCGCCGCCTCCTTTCTGTGGCCGTCTGCCCAGCAAGTCCGTCGCAGGTCCTACGGCCTCCTCTTAGCACCCGCCGTCGCCCGCCAGCCCAACTCCTGCTCTATCGTCGCCCTCCAACTCGGCTCCGTCGCCGCCCAAATCCGCCCAACTCCAGCTCCGTCGCAAGTCCCGTCGCCTCCTCTACCCACGCCCGCCCAACTCATCCTCTGCCATCCAACTCCACCATCGCCGCCGCCTAACTCCTCCAACGCCGCCCAACACTACTGTCGCCGCTACCGCGCAGTTGGTGCCCCAGCCCCCGCCGTGCAACACGCGTCCCTCAATTGCGACTGTGAGTGACCCCCACCTCATCCTCATCGATTCCATCAGGCAAGCAATCTGATCCTGTTCTTGGTCCCTAACGCTTCTTTGCCGCAGCTGTTGGGATCCGCGATGACAAGGACTACAGCGTGGGCTGGAGTGGCTGCGAGGGAGAGGTGCCCTACGATGAGTTTCTGTACAAAGTAATAGAAAACAAGAATGAAGATTTATTTTTTGGCCTAATCTATCTGTTGCACTACTTTGTTTTGCAATTCAGGACTCAACATACTTGTACATGTACTGATCTGATGTCATGTGTATTCATAGTACAGCTACACTGGTGCGTTGGAGCTGTAGCTGAAAGAATCTGCACAGGACTGTCTACCCCAGCCTAGAGCCGAAGTGGGCAACTTGCAACCTTTTGGAGATTATTTGAACATCCACAACATTGGCGGTTGCTCTTCTTGTGCGTACCGGTATGATCATCTTTCTGTATGCCATCTTTTTAATATTGTGTGTGGACAGGAACATGGCAATCGTGTTTAAATTAAAACCATTCCGTGGCTTCATGGATATGAGCATGATTGACAGAATGTAGCTACTTTGATTCTTATGGTCTTGTTTATTTTATAGTTCATTTCTAAAGCTGCTTGATCTTTCACAAAGGGAAATGGATAAATCATGGATCGATAATGATGCTAGGTACACATACTTATTTCACAAAGACTGAAAGTTCTATTTGTAGTTAACATGGGAATTAACTTAAAAACTGCATGTAGGCACACCAAGATATATCAACAAGGGGTGAACAATTTCATAGCTTTTGCATTTGAGAATTCAGCGGTAGGAAGCAAGATACTATGCCCTTGCGAAAGTGTGTTAACTCATTTTGGAGAGGAGGAAGTGAAATACGTGAGCATTTGATATGTGATGGGTTTCTAAAAGGGTATAGAACATGGACCTTACATGGAGAAGTTAGCTCTTCTATGAATCATGGAAACTTTGATGGTGTTGAACTTATGGAGGAGACCAGCGAAGATGATAACATCTACGATTTGCTTAGGGACTTAGCTCTTTGGTTTAGATGATAAAGGGATTTTGATGACAACAATTCAGACCTAGAACCCTGTGAGGAGCTAGTTGCCATTCAGAAGTTAGTAGCAGAGAATAGCAAAGAGTTATACCCTAATTACAAGAAATATACACAAGCTGCGTTTCCTAATTAGATTACTCCACACCAAACTCCTCGGAGGGTGGAGTGATAAGAGTTTTAACATGCTACTAGATCTACTTAATGATGCACTACACGAGGGTTTAACACCTTTGCCTAGAAACTTTCATGAAGCTAAGAAATTGGTGAAATCTATAGGAATCGGATACACTAGTATTCATGCTTGTGATAACGATCGCATTCTATTTTGGAAAGATAACGAGGGGTTGGATTCATGTCCAAAATGTAAGGCTTCTCGGTGGAAATCGGTGAAGGAAGAGCCTAGATGGAAAACATGTATATAAGGTTCCTAAAAGGTTCTCCGCTACTTTCCAATAAAGAAATGTCTAAACCGGATATTTCTATCCTCTAAAACAAACAAGTCTAGTGAGATGGCATGATGAAGACCGTAAAAAAAGGATGGTGCCTTGGGCATCCTGTAGATTCACCACTATGGCAAGACTTTGATAAGAAACATCTAGATTTTGCTGCAAATAGTCGAAATATCCGTCTAGCATTTGCCACCAATGGTTTTAATACGTTTAGAACCATGAATGTTAGCTATAGCGTTTGGCCTGGTATTTGTATTCCCTACAACTTTCCACCTTCAATGTGCATGAAGAAATCAAATTTCATCCTTTCTTTGTTGATTCTGGTAAAAATGCTCTGGTAGTGATATGGATGTCTATTATCACCACTAGTTCAAGATCTGTTAGATCTATTTACCAAGGAGTTAGAACATATGATGCTTGAAGGGTGAGTTCTTTCGGTTGAAGG